TCAGTAGGGCCATTTATACGACTATACCAGCGAAATTAGCCGTGGCTCGTCTTATTTAAAGCACGAAAAAATACTATGTAGTCCCGTATAAATGTAGTTGTTCGCGACTTTATTTTCGCTTGTATATAAACTCACATCAGGCTATTGACTATTTTTCACACAAACACACAAAAAAAACCATGAAATTATTACCATTCTATGTCCTACACGCGAAATTTGATCCATTAACACCACATGCCGTCCTTCTTTTACCTCGTTCCAGACTTTTTCCGCGAGCCCCACCCTAGCAGAATTGAATTCGACACATGCAAAATGCGACGTCTGAAACAGGTCGCATTTAGCTCGCACTTAGCTCGCATTATGCGACCGGTTGGGTCGAATTTAAAGTTAAGGTCGACCGCAATTAAAAACGTCGCATTTAATCGTTTCAGACGTCGAATTTTGCATGCACATAATTCAAGCAATTGAATTCGACACATGCGAAATGCGACGTTTGAAACAGGCCTAAGCTACTTTTGCAATATACTTCGCTAATTTGCGAGTATTTTCTAATTTTACTGCAGTTTTAATTTAAATTCAGCCGTTTTAGTGGGCAGGCTATAATTGTAGTTGTGATCGTTTAAATAAAATATATCAACAACAATAGTATAATCTAATTAGCACCAGCCAATCAAATGACAGATTTAAAAAATCGTTTGTCTAATCGGCCAATCAGACGAAAAAGCCAGAATCTGGCTTTTTACATGCGCCGCGGTAAAGAATTGTATCAGGCCCTCCTTCATTCGCCGCCGCCAATTAATCCTGGCGAATGAAAACAAAAGGGTCTGATACTCAGGTTATCCGTTATGAGGTTATGACTCTACCGGTGAAAGTGCTAATTACAAAACGTCAATCTTTCTTAATGCGGGTGTTTGTATTCCGAGTAATGAGTAATGGCATGTACTAAAAGGCGAAACGTCGAAACGAAACGACCGAAACGAAACGGCCGAAACCATCGAAACCACCGAAACGACCGAAACGAAACAACCGAAACGAAACGACCGAAACGAAACAACCGAAACGAAACGACCGAAACGAAACGGCCGAAACCATCGAAACCACCGAAACGACCGAAACGAAACAACCGAAACGAAACGACCGAAACGAAACAACCGAAACGAAACGACCGAAACGAAACGGCCGAAAATATAAATTACAGGAAAATTGAAAATGCGGATACGGACGGACGGGGGAAGAGGCGGATGGACGGGGGGGCAGGCGGATGGACGGGGGACAGGCGGATGGACGGGGGGGGACGGCTTCATTTGACACGAAACTCAATTTTAAAATCAAATCCGCGTTTTGTTGAAAGGGATATATTAGGATATATTATAAAAGACTATTATTAATCGTAATAAATTGTCCGCGAAAAGTTGATAAAATACATGTGGAAATGCGGGGGTTTTCAAACCTTCGTAACGCTTGATCGGATAAAACGCGGATATGCTGCAACTTTCATGCTTAATTTTCTCAGTCATCTGGGTATGTAGTAATCTAATTTTATGCAATGTAATGTGCTATTTTTTCAAGCGCTTTTCAATGCAGTTATCGGTTTAAATATAACTCAAATTTCCGCTATGATATGACAATTGCCGTACGGCCTACTTTTATGCAAACGCAAATTACAACTGCAAATTTCATGCTTAATTTTCTCTGTTATCTGGGCATGTAGTAATGTAATTTTATGCCAATGTAAGGTGCTATTTTTCAAGGGCTTTTCAATGCAGTTATCGGTTTAAATATAACTCAAATTCCCGTTAAGATATGACAATTGCCGTACGGACTACTTATACGCAAACGCAAATTACAACTGCAAATTTCATCAGCACAATACATTGGCATAAAATTACATTACTACATGCCCGGATAAGTAACAGAGAAAATTAAGCATGAAAGTGGCAATTGTAGCTAATTTTCGTTTGCGTAAAAGTAGGCCGTACGGCAATTGTCATATCTCTTAATTAACGGAAATTTTACTTAAAAATATAACACATTACATTGCATAAAATTAGATTACTACATACCCAGATGACTGAGAAAATTAAGCATGAAAGTTGCAGCATATCCGCATTTTATCCGATCAAGCGTTACGAAGGTTCGAAAAACCCCGCATTTCCACATGTATTTTATCAACTTTTCGCGGACAATTTATTACGATTAATAATAGTCTTTTATAATATATCCTAATATATCCCTTTCAACAAAACTCGGATTTGATTTTAAAATTGAGTTTCGTGTCAAATGAAGCTGTCCCCCCCGTCCGTCCGTATCCGCATTTTTCAATTTTCCTGTAATTTACATTTTCGGCCGTTTCGTTTCGGTCGTTTCGTTTCGGTTGTTTCGTTTCGGTCGTTTCGTTTCGGTTGTTTCGTTTCGGTCGTTTCGTTTCGGTCGTTTCGGTGGTTTCGATGGTTTCGGCCGTTTCGTTTCGGTCGTTTCGTTTCGACGTTTCGCCTTTTAGTACATGCCCAAACGAACACACACTGGAGAGAAACCTTACGAATGTGATGTTTGCAACAAAAGATTTTCCAACCCAGCCAACCTAACTAAACATAAGAGAACACACACTGGAGACAAACCTTATGAATGTGATGTTTGCAACAAAAGATTTCTCCACTCAGGCAACCTGACTAAACATAAGGGAACACACACTGGAGACAAACCTTATGAATGCGATGTTTGCAACAAAAGATTTTCTGACCCAAGCTCCCTAACTAAACATAAGAGAACACACACTGGAGACAAACCTTATGAATGTGATGTTTGCAACAAAAGATTTTCTGACCCAAGCTCCCTAACTAAACATAAGAGAACACACACTGGAGAGAAACCTTATGAATGTGATGTTTGCAACAAAAGATTTTCTGACCCAAGCTCCCTAACTAAACATAAGAGAACACACACTGGAGACAAACCTTATGAATGCGATGTTTGCAACAAAAGATTTTCTGACCCAAGCACCCTAACTAAACATAAGAGAATGCACACTGGAGGCAAACCTTATGAATGAGATGTTTGCAACAAAAGATTTTCTGACCCATGCACCCTAACTAAACATAAGAGAATGCACACTGGAGGCAAACCTTATGAATGTGATGTTTGCAACAAAAGATTTTCGCAGTCAGGCCACTTAGTCAGACATAAAAGAACACATACTGGAGACAAACCTCATGAATGTGATATTTGTAAGAAGAGATTTTCATGCTTGAGCCACTTAACTATGCATAAACAAACACACACTGGAGACAAACCTTACCAATGTGACATTTGCAACAAGAGATTTTCAGAATCGCACAAATTAACACGACATAAAACATCAGCACACAAGAGAAATCAGAGTTTTCAGTGCGGTATCTGCAAGAAAACATTCACACAACGACAAATTCTCAAACGTCATTGGAGGTCACACTTGAGAGATGGCTTATTATTGTGCCACACCTGTGGCAGAGAAATTATTCAAGGTCAAGCACATGCTAATGAGATACAGAAGAGTGATGATCATTTTTACTGTGACAAATGCAACAAACAGTTCCCTGATGTTGAAAGTTTATATCAGCACAAGGCCAAAGATCATGGTATGTCCTACCAATGTGATGTCTGTAAGGAATTAGAAGCAAGAGAAGCAACTGGTATTGGTTATATCTGTTGTGCCTGCGATGCCCAGTTTGAAGTTGCCACTGAACTTGAAGATCATATGAGTATGCATGACAATGTGCTGCCCCACTAGCTAAGCAACATAAATTGAAAATATTTGTGTCATATGTTGTAATGTGTTGAAATTTATCTTCAAGTTGTTTTGAGATTGTTTGAAATTGATTACACGTTTTCAAAATTACGCGACCAAGGTTTTTATGTTATTGGGTCACGAAGTTTAAACTTTTAGTTTTGCGGTTCCTTGTCGATGTATATGTTTTGTATGCTTTATATAAACAGGCTTAGAATGATTTCAAGATATTTTAGTGAGAATTATTGCAAAATTTAAGCACAAACAAAATCATAACATCACCGTTATAGTCTAGCGCGCACGTTTAATTTTATACTGACAGCTAAATTCCAGGATAATATAAATTGTTATTTTTCAAACTTTAAAAGTTATTCACGGCACATATTTCTGTTGTATTGTGCTTTAGTTTGTATATATAAGTTATCTAACTCATTTTTTTATCAGTTTTGGTATTAAATACGGTTTAAAATGTCTTTTGACAGTTTGTTTACGTTTGCTATTTTTGTCTCTATGATTTTTGTTGCATGCAACTTTCATATAGCTCTAAATTTCGTGTCGCGGTGATGAGCGTACCAGTCACGTGGCAGATTCGTTAAAAGACGACTAATACCGAGCTTTTCCGACGAGCATTTTTGTGCCGGTGTCCCAGGATTTTCGCCCCCCCTACATTTTCGCCCCCCCGGGGGGGCGAAATTCCTAGGAATATCGCCCCCCCAGGGGGGCGAAAATCCTAGGAATTTCGCCCCCCTTCAGGAAATTCGCCCCCCTTTAGAAACTTCACCTTTTCTTTAGGACTGTCGTCCTCCGTTCAAAATTTCGCCCTTCCTAACAGTTGCATGGGATAACTATTACATGGCTTTAATCATTTGAAATCAGTATCAATTCAAAATTGTTAAGACAGAGCTTGAAATAACAACCGATCACCGATCAATGATCGGCAAAGGAATTGCTTATGATCGGCGGAAAAGCAGAGTTTCGGTTTCCAACCTGAAAAAAAGCAGGGAAAGTCGCGACTGCCGATCACCATGGTCGGGAACTTTGGGAACGTTATTTCAAGCCCTGCATGTAAGAATACAAATTTACAATTACATGTATCGAAAGGGCTTTACACAGTTACAGTAGATGAATACTCAATAGGACTTATGACGCTTCACAGCACACCATGCATATTTTGCATTTTCAGTGTTAATCCTTAAACTCATTGTTACTGTTGTTAAAAAGTAATCACCGTGGTGGTTATTGTAATTATTGGTATATGTTTTGCATCCACGTTTTGTCGTTATCGGAAAATGTATGGTTTGTCACTATTTTTTACTTGCATTATTTCAATATAGTTTATAAATCTCAGAAGCGAAGGGTAGAACTTGCCAATAGGCAATAATCCAATAATATACGTTTCAAAAAAGACAAGAAAGCTTTTAGTTTTGCAGAGTTACATTCTCAAATGTTTTAGGCATGCACTAATAAAATCAAAGTATCATGAAATGATTTGAATAAACCACACCACATATATAATGCAATTTTCTTTGCGGAAGTGAAGAATTAAGATTATATCACTGACACGGAAAGTTGACGATTCAACGGACAATATAGTCAATACGCTTCCCAACACATTCCATGGATTTTTTACTAATCCTATAGTTTATTGTTAGCAAGTGATTACTGTGGCGGCTATTGTTAACACTCGTATTGATAAAATTTGCAAGCGATTGTTTTTATAATATGTTATGTGAATGTAAACTGCAAGAAGAATACGACAACATGATTTTATGCGATCTCTGTGATGGTTCCACTTTAGATGTGTAGAATATGACACTAGTCTAAGTACCTCAAATGAGTGGTTATGCTGACTGTGCACACCACCAGCTGCTGAGAAGCCTAAATTGTGTATGTAATTTTGTCTCCTTGTAATAAATAAATCAATCACACAATAAATCTTTTCAACTTGCAATCGTTTTGTTTTTAGATCAAAAATTCAAAATTTATATGGGGGGGGGGGCGAAATTCCTAAAGGGGGGCGATATTCCTAGGAGATTCGCCC